TGAAGCATTGCCTGCAAGTCTGGGCTTCGAACAATTAGATGCAGAAAGCTTTGCAGAATGGGGTGGAGACAGTCTGAAGTAAAATAACATTATTAAATTTACTCTAAAACAATAGCTGACCTGAATTAGGTACGATAACTGCTATTCTACATCGAATACAACTATGGTCGATTCAAGCTCTGCTGAAGCCCAATCACCCGCTCGTTTCCAACACATGGCAGCTGAGCTGGATGCTGTCAACCGCAACATTCAATACTACGTTTGCCAATGGGGAATTGGAACTAACGTTGGTGACTGGGCTGCCGAAATTGGAGCTACCTGGAGAATGAGCAACGACATCTACAACGCCTGGCGCAGCATCTGGCGAATTACGAACCAGATTGTACCGTACTTTAGACATACCACTACGGGTGCCTTTGCCGACATGGACATGTTGATGTATGCATCTTGTTCAGATCTCGAGAAATAGGCTAACTTAAACAGCGTTGGCCTGAAGGCACTTTCCGAAGAAGAAGAGCGCTTCCACTTCGGCATGTGGGCGATCAACAAGTCGCCTCTGATCATGGGCGCAGCTCTTGACCCGAAGCGCCTCAGTCAATCCTCAATAGACATCATGACAAACAAAGAGGTGATTGCTATTAACCAGGATCCGCTTGCTAAGCCAGCAAAATTGATCCAACGTAACACCGAAAGCGAATGGGATGTATGGCTCGGTGAGCTTTCAGGCTCAAAACAAGTTCTGGGTGTTGCAAATTGGAGAAATAACTCGCAGAATGTCGAATTGAACTTGGCCTCGCTTGGCATTGCATCAGCCAATGCACGCGACGTCTGGGCTGCGAAGGACCTGGGTGCTGTTTCTGGTTCCCAGACTCTCGATCTTGCCGGTCACGAATTACGCCTATGGGTGCTATCCGATGTGGAGGCAGCTGCTCCGCTAGGTTCTGGCGCATACCATTCAGCTGCTGACGCATCTCTCTCTGGGCCAGCACAAGTAATATCCTGTGCAGAGGGCGCCTGCTTGCCAACAGGATCAAAGGTTGGATACATCGATCGCAGCGCTGGTGTAACTTTCTCCAATGTCAGTGCTGCTTCCGCCGGCAAGAAACTCTTGAGTGTCGACTTCGTCAACTACGAATACGCATTCACTACCGCATGGGATTGGGGTGACAATGCGCGAAACATGACAGTAGCTGTGAACGGTAAAAAGGCGAAGAGGTGGGCTTTCCCACTCTCCGGTGGGAACTGGCAAGAGAGTTTTGGACTGAACATTGAAGTTGATGGGTTTACTGAGGGTAGTGCAAACACCGTAGAGTTCAGAGGCTACGGAGACAGGTTTGCACCGGACTTGGTTGGCTTCAAGGTCTTCGAGTAGCTCAACGGCCTTCGTTGACTGGTGGAATTCAGACCGTAGCTTGGGGCTTTCTGTTGAACTGGAATATTTCTAAGCCTAATCACATATCTATTTATCCTAGTTTGAACCAGGATTTTTCTTGTCATACCCTGCACAACGGTGAGCGCCGATCCCATCTTGAAAGAGCTGTGGAGAACCCCGCATCCGGGAAACTGGTGGTGCCACTGCGGGTCAAAAGCCACCGAACATCTGCCATCTGTCATGAGCACAAAAGTACATCCTTCGCTTTGTACGCATGCACGACAAGACCAAGTATGCAGCTAGTACCGCATATATCTACGCCGCTCACAACAGGCTGGGCGGTAAAGCAAGGCGATCGCTCCTCCACTAGTCCCTTTCTACCTGCGCACGATGCTCCAACCGAGATACATCGTGACCTCCTCAAGAATGGAAAAATCAAGGACCCCTTCATTGACCTCAACGAGCTGTCAGTACGCTGGGTCGGAGACGAGACATGGACATATTGTACCACCTTCGCTGCACCTGAACATTATGGCAAAGCTGGTGCGACTTCCGAACTTCAATTTGAAGGATTGGATACATTTGCTTCCGTCTATCTGAATGGTGTCTTGATCCTCCAATCAGATAACATGTTTGAGGCGCATTGGGTTGACGTTACAGGGAAGCTGAAAGACCGAGACAATGCACTAGAAATCGTCTTTCATTCTGCGCGAAAGAGGGGTCTGGAACTTGTCGAGGAACATAAAGGCCATCGGCACATTGTACACCAGACCGAGATTTCGCGTGGCCCGGTTCGTAAAGCGCAGTATCATTGGGGGTGGGATTGGGGCCCCATACTAATGACGTGTGGGATTTGGAAACCGATATCGCTAAAGACGTGGATGAGTCGGTTATCAAATCTGGACATCCACTACGATCTTTCACATGATTTGGATTCTGCTTCGATTGTAGCTGGGGTCGAATGGGGAGGTCTTATTGATTCGTTGACTTTTACTGTTACGAAGAAAGGGAGCAGTGTTGTCGAATGGAGCGATACCATAGATCTTCGGTCTGGAGATCGCTGCGGAACTGCAAGTGCATCTGGTATCATGGAAGATGTCGAGCTCTGGTGGCCGCGAGGCTACGGCCATCAGAATATGTACACCATCCAAGCGGAAGCTTACGTACAGTCTGAGACGTCCGAATCTCAGAGACTTCACTCTGTCTCAAAAGACTTTGGCTTTCGTCGTGCCGAACTAATTCAAGAGCCGGATAAGGACGGCCAATCTTTCTACTTCCGCGTCAACAACATTGACATCTTCTGTGGTGGTTCGTGCTGGATACCCGCAGACTCCTTTTTGACGCGTCTCACGCCTTCCGACTATCACGCGTGGGTAAAGCTCGCAGCCGATGGAAACCAAACAATGATTCGCATATGGGGTGGTGGCATCTATGAAGCCCATGCATTGTACGATGCAGCTGACGAGCTGGGTGTGTTAATATGGCAAGACTTCATGTTTGCCTGTGCAAACTACCCAGGCCACACAAAATATCTGGAGAGTGTGGAAACTGAAGCCAGACAAAACGTCCAACAAGTACGAAGGCATCCGAGCATCATCCTCTGGGGAGGAAATAACGAAGACTACCAAATCGTAGAGCGCTACGGACTCGACTACGACCCCGACAACAAAGACCCTGAGTCCTGGCTCAAAACAAATTTCCCGGCACGCTACATCTACGAGCATCTCCTCCCAAAGATAGTATCCCAGGAATCGCCAAACACACCTTACCACCCCAGTTCTCCCTTCGGCAACGGCCGCTCCACCGTCCTAAAAGTCGATCCCACAATCGGCGACATCCACCAATGGAACGTATGGAACGGCACAATGGAACCATACCAACGTCTCCCCAAGCTAGGCGGCCGCTTCGTCTCCGAATTCGGCATGGAAGCCTATCCGCACATATCTACAATCGAGAGATGGGTTACGCGGCCAGAAGACCGCTACCCGGGCTCCATGGCCATGGACTTCCGCAACAAAGCGATCGCACATGAGCGACGCTTGATGAGCTATGTGGCTGAGAACTTTCGCGTCAGATATGATCTGAAGGGATTCGCGCATCTAACGCAGGTCATGCAGGCCGATGCTATGGCGTGGGCGTACAAGTCCTGGCGTCGTGATTGGGGATCGCATGGCAGTCGCAAGTGTGGGGGTGTGCTGGTTTGGCAACTTAATGATTGCTGGCCGACCATGTCGTGGGCTGTTGTCGACTACGAGCGTGTGCCTAAACCGGCATATTATGCTATCAAGCGTGCCATGAAGCCTGTTGCTATTGGTGTGCAACGCAAGGTTACGAGCTGGACTATGCGGCCGGCGGATGAGCTGTGGCAGCGAGATACAGGACATGTTGACATGCGCAAGTTGCGGCAGGAGGTCGAGTATGAAGTTTGGGTTGCTAATAGCACGGTCAAAGAGGTGGAGGGGAGTGTGAGGATTAGGTATGTCTCGATCAAGACGGGGACGAAACAGGGCCAGGAATTGAAGCGAGATGTTCGCATTGCGGTCAACGGGACTACCGAGGTTATCAAGACTCATATAATGAGTGTGGACATCTCAAAGCACCCGGATGATTTTGACTTTACGACAACCGACCCTTTCGTTATTGAGGCGACGCTACACATAGAGGGCCAGTGTGTTGCAACGGACGTATCTTGGCCGGAGCCGATCAAATACCTCTCTTTTGAAGATCGGGGGATCAAGGTGGAGTATTCTGGAGACTTAACTGTGGCTTTTGTATCGTCTTCAAAGCCAGTAAAAGGCTTTGTGTTTAGCGAGAAAGAGGGCGTACGATTAAGCGACAATGGCTTTGATGTCATTCCAGGAGAGACGCACGAAGTGCAAGTAGATGGTATCGCGGCTAATGAGTTGGAATGGAGTTATGTTGATATGTAACATCGTCCTAAGCATACTTGAAAATATAGTACAATATAATACTTTCTACACTAGACTTATACACTATTTGAAGTATTCTCAAGTCCAGCTGAGTATAACACAATTGTTTCTCGGCTTTCATTCTCTTAGTATATATACCTTCAACTTGATGGTACATACTATTGTTCTCGACCAAGGTTGTTCGCAACCTTGTGCACTGGCGCAGAAAATGTACCTATCTATCCTGTAAATAATAAACCGCTGCATCTGTCTATTCTATCCTAATCCAGAATTAAAATGGAGGATTGTAACCTAACACTGTATCATATATATCTAACAAGCGGACAATTGTAAGAGTGTTGGCTTAAGGAGTGTTATATCAAATGTAGTGCCAGGTGTAACATGATTTTATTCGGAACATATAATATCTACCAGAGCGTTCATACGTGCATATGGGTCGAAGAAATACTTTTACTTCAGTCTAAGCATCGCTCAAAAAGATAATCCCAAATAGTCTGAGCGTGGCCTCTGAGTGCAGTTCAGATAAGCAGAATCCGGATGCTGAGACCTATACTCAGATTTTGTAGTCGCGCACCGAGATCCCCATCGACGAGCCGTACCAAAGGAAATTCAGCCAGTTAGGGAGGAGCTCAACTAGAACAGTTCGCTTCAAAATCATTGATTGGAATACAGCCTGTCAAATCATTAGTGATACTAACTCAAGATTTAGGAAAGATTATATACCATTGTTGTTTTGCTTGCAAGGCTTTCCCTAAAACCAATATTAGCATCAAGACATGTGAAACGAGGCTTCGCCTTACAGCAGTGCATCGGTGGGCTAACAGCCCGAGGCCACCATCGTTTACGCAGAGTCCATTAGGAGAAGCCTGACGGTGTTGTAGATCCATTTTCATGTATTCAGGATCATCCGAGTTCTTGCAGTTCTAATAAGTAACTAGTTAGTCGCAGTTACGGAGGGAGGGAAAGATAGCTTGTTGTGAAGTACCCAATTGCCTTGCGCAACCGTCAAAGACAGCAAGGGAACGATTGCAGCGAGGATAGTAAAACGCATATTGACTAAGAAATATAAGAGTGGTTTAGCAAAGAAATTGGACGGCAAAGAAGAGTTCTATATATATAATTTGTGCAATCAGGGGCACTAGTCTAGCTAAAGATTAGGCAAATACAGCATGTCTGCAATCGTATTTTGCCCGGCCAGTTAGTGTTGTCTAGACCTATAAATCCCAAGAATACGGATGGCCGAGAAGGTCACAGGCTCTTTCTACATCTCTGAAGATTTCCGCCTAAACTGACCCAAAAAAAAAGCTTTACCAACACTATGAACGCGTTTTGATTGGCATAGAGCTCTTTCACTACATTTTCATCATCAGTAGGGCACAATACGTTTGTAGGCATGGTGTACGGTTTGTAAGAACGGTGTCTGTTATAGCCTGGAGCCCTTGGACTCTCTCCTACTCATCTCCGACCTCGGTGCTTCTCCCTACTTACTCTGGCGCTAAGGAGGCGATCGGCAATGGCATTTCACCGCCCCAAATTCATAAATAGGCCTAGCTTCGCTAGTGCTTACAGAACCTTTCAGAGAGACCATTAGTGACGGATTCGGATATTATAATATAGCAGTGAAGTCAAGACTCTAGCCTTAGGTAACTAAGCCGGCGGTGTTGCAAGGAGCCACCTCTGGCGAGCTATGGCCATAGTATTATGCTACAGTCGTGTTCAGTGCTCACTTACCGACCACGATGGAATAACATTGACTAGCAAGAAAACTTTAATCAAATAGCTTTCTACATTTGCATTTTATGCATATACATGTAACACAGTGACATCTCGACTTAATTAGTCTCCCATACTTTATGTATTGAGCATACTTACTTACCCATCTAGCACCGTCCTGAAAACTACACATCTCAGATATCGTCTCCAAAGCCCTCTTCTTCATCGTCGGAATCCAGAACCTTGTCGCTGATCTTCCAGAACGCAGTCGGCCCAGCCGGTCCGTGCACGTCGAAATCTTTGTCAAACCATGATCCGACAACGCCTCGTGGACAGCGCAATCCGCCTACTTGGATACCATCGCTACGCCATCTCTCCTCACTGCGTTCACACGTCAGAAATACTCGGCTCAGCGGCGCACCAAGAGTAACGCGAACTTACCCTTCGAAAATTGAAATCGTCTGCCACCTCACTTCGCCCTCAGGTGTCAAGCTCACAGTGCCACGGATGCCAGAGGTCCCATTAGGATCCGATTGACCGTCTATAGATCTTGACTTTCCTTTGAAATGTACCACTGGTAGTGCGGGGTTGTCTGATGGGCCTGGTGCGGTAACATCATTAATTCGCAAATACATGAGTATGTGACGAATGGCTTCGTCTACGTGAAGTGGTGCTCTTGGTTGATCAGCAGGAACTCTTCTCGCATCCGTTTCGAAGTTGTAGTGGTATAGATCGGTGTAATCCAGGAAGCAAACAACCTGAAAGTTATCAGTAAGTTGTCAATGCTATCAGTTTGTAGATGCCATACTCGGGACCAAATTCCTTGAACTCTGTACGGGTCTTTCATATCGAGCGGGAGTTCCGGTTCCTGTAGCAGCGCTATGTAATTTGATTGATCGATGCCCATATCCGGAATGATACCTTCTAAGGAGTCTAGCCATGGCAGCTGGAGTCGGTTGCTCAGCGTTTGAAGGGAAAAGAACGAGTTGTATCCAAGTACGATCATAATGCTTTCAATCATTTCCCAATCTACGCGCATGCTTCCATCTTTGCGGAAAGGGCCCCATTTGTTCTTATCGGTGTAGTTTCTCAAATCGTATACGCGTGATCGGGCATACGGTTGAGTGAAAAGTACATTTTTCCCTCCAGCCTTAGATTGGGGGAAGCCCTTGGAATTGGGGAAGCCGAATAGGCTATGCAATTTTGCGCTCAGCTGACGGCCTTCTTCATCCTCAGCTGGTTTCTGTGTTGATGTTCCAGCCCGACTGAAATGCGATGAGCGACACATGAAAGCATCGTGGTTTTGGGAGATGTTTTCGAAAAGGTCTTTGAGCAAGGCCCTATTGTGACTAATGCCGAGGTTGTCGCATGACATGGTGGCGATAAGATTTTCCACTGTCGATGCAACGAAAGTAAACTCTTCCCGCTGCGAGCGTTAAATGACGAAGTGATGGAAAAGGCGCGAACCCTACCTTGAGGTCATTATCGGCTGATAATAGCATCTTCTGGCATCTGACTAGCCGTTGCAGTTCTTCAACCCACGCAGGCTCTGGATCTGTCGGTCTTCTCCGGCGAGGATCATCCTAACATATAGTCAGCATCATACAATCACTGAAATCTCGCTATTTTCTTCATACAAAATGTTTGAGGTAGAGAGTCTTATATATCCGCCCATTTTCTCTGATGAAGCTATTGAAGGCCTTGGACGTCTGCGCACAAGCCGCCACATCTTCAGGATTGATTTCTTCAAGGATCTGGAGGAGAACATCGTAGCACAAGTCAAGTAATTCTCTCATCTTTGCGGATATTGTGCCAGGGCTTTGAGTACCAACCGAGCGTAAGAACGACGGGGATCGTCAGCTAAATCGATGGTCGGGATGTACGAATGGTGACGATGTGGGATTCGGAGTTAGCGGAGTTATTGCCGGGGGAAAAATAGCACGTAGGCGCCTTCGCAGAAACGACGAGTATGCCAACGACATGCGTCAAGCGCATTTGATTTGAATGGAAGGATTCGATGTTTCTGCGTCACATAAGAAAAAACTGCAGTTTCGTGTATGGTAAGGTTGTGGCCAGTATGAGTGAGTAAGGCCACTCGCATAACAATTAATCAGCAGGTTTCACTAGCGCGTCGAATTCATCGAATTCATCATACAAGGCCTCATCACGAGCATACAAATCGCAAGTATCATGCAAACTGAAAAACGCTAAGATTGTACTGGGGGTATCAAAATATACAAAAAACATTACCATTCCAACCGGTCATCGCATGTCAGCCGTACATCATATCTGTCATCTCCCTTCCACACGTCGCCACCTTTGTTGGTGCTAGCGATGATGCGCCTGAGGTCACTGATCATACCTCCTGGACCAGAAGCAAAGACATCAGTTCCTCCTCGTACTGTTCCAGCGACGAATTCGCGCACGATTGCGTCAAGGTTGGGTCGTGCCTGGACGTGGTTCAGGCCGAGATCCGATTTCGACACACCGTGGACAGAAAGAGCGGAAGAAGCATCCTGGGTAGAACCATCTGAGCTTGAGGCGGGGTTGATTTCCTTACTGCAGTCGGTTGCGCCGACCTTTTCTGATGTGGCGGGTGGTGGGATGTCTACTTCCTCGGAGGCACGCGTGACATAGATGTGGATGCTGGTGCGCAGGTTGCGACACTTGCGCTTCAAGATGGCGAGTTCGGGTGCGACCCAGTCGATATCGCTTCTGCGGCGGATGGCCCATACAAGGGACATGTGACGATCGGGGTGTTGCTGTTGGGAGGCGAGATCGAGAAGAACCGGGATAACGTATGCGATGCCAGTTCCACCAGCGATGCAGAGAATGTTGGAGTTGGGGGCGAGGCTGCTCATCGTACGCTCGCCATATGGGCCAGTCATAACGACCGAAATGCGGGCATCGGCCATCAGTCCTTCGTGTGACTCCTCGTGGTCCTTGACGTGAGCGATGCGCTTCATGGCTAGCTGGGCAATCTTCTTGGTTTCACCCTTCCTTGCGCGGAAAATGTACGAGTGCCTCTGACTATCGGCACCAAAGACCGGGAGACTGACTGGGGTGAATGGATGACTTTGCCAGATGCTGCTATCAGGGAAGGTAAGGTAGAAGTGCTGACCGACAGACCAAGCATCTTGAGGGTGGTCAAAGTCCAAGCGCACAATATCGCCATTGACCTCGTCCTTGAAGAGAGATACAGTCGAGGAAGCTGAGCGGAAACCCATGTGACCGGAAGGTAGGAAATTGTAGTGTAACAGAGCCGACCTGGCAAGTCTGATACCACGATCGATGAACCAGACAATCAATCCAGGCAAAAGGAAGACCTTAAGCTGCTGCCAGTGGCCCCAGCATGCTCCGATGTAAATCATAGCCAGAACATAGTGGGCCTTGCGGAAGAATTCGTAGCCAGTGAGTTTGATTCCCCAGGGTGTGGAGAGCAGGACTAGCAGTGTCAAGATGATCATCGCAACCAAACCCCAAATCATGTATTCCTGCACAATCCAGGTCTTGGCAACATATGGCTGGGGCTGGTAAAGACGAATCTCGACAATGCACCAGGCGATGGTGTGAAGGGATGACTGGAGGAAGATAATGTATCCGAGCCAGCGATGGAGGAAGTTGAAGCTTTGGTATGGCAGGCCGGTGACAAGCGACAAAATAGATTCGCGGCTCGCGAGCATAACCGACAAAGGCGTGAGAGCATACGCCAAAACGCCAATGCGATCAGACCAGGGGCCGAGAGTACTACGAGTTTGGGTAAGACCAGGAGGATTGGTAACGCCGGGAAACTTTTTCGCAGGAGTGTTCCAGTGGTTGTAGATCATGCCGACGAAAGAGAAGACGATGAGGTAACCGGTCAGGACAGTAAGGGTCAAGACCTGAGTGCGAGTGACTCGGCCAAATATCGGCCTGGCGGCATCTGGGAGGAGGTATTGTCGCGAGTATGATGCAATTGCTTTTTGGAATCGTTCGAGAGCGCTGCGTTTTTGTGGTACTCCTTCACCCACTTCGGCCGGGAGCTGTACACCCGAGGGTTGCGAACGCGCAAAGTGTCGTCCGACACCCCAGATCACCAGGATACCGCCAATGACGGACCACATGATACCGCTGTAGAGCATGGAGAGGTCGTGGGCGTGGTAGACGAGGTCGAGATAGGTACAGTCGTCTGGTACGTTAGTGCAGGGAACCGCGCGGTCAGCATACCCCCAATGGTGTTCTATGGACGATGCTGTGCTCATATTCTGGATATGGCGCGGAGCCAGCATGTTGACGTCCATGTTTGCTGGCGCGCTGGGGACGAGGAAAGGCGACAGACAAACAGCGGATGCAAAGATTGTGTGAGGCTCTTTGCGGCTTCCGGAGAATCGGTGGAGTCGTTATATCTATATAAATGTGGCGAACCGGAGGCGGTAGATAGTGAGCATGTTTCATCGGTAATTCGAGCACGAAGCCAAGCTTCTAGATGAAGACAAGATGTTTCGAGCCGTCTTAAAGGCATGGGTATGTCGCTAGTGCGAGAGCATTTGAGCAAATAACCCCACAGTTTCGGGAGACTATCTGCAAAGGTTGGACCCAAGACGGGACCAGACGACGACCCTGTGGACCGAACATGGCTGGATCAAGGACCCTATGAATATCGCATCACCCGCTGGGTCTGGCTCTGCGGATTAGCGTCGAAGGCCAATTGCTAAAGCCTCTATTCAATCCTTGGGATTCCCTCGCACAGCTTCTTTGTGAATTTACGTTTTTTCAATCTCAACTTTCGCCGTGCGAGATTCTACACCCATTGCGCATCGCCTATCATGATGTCCCACGGAATGTCCGGCATGGCCGGCAACAAAACTTGCGTCACTGAGGTATGTAGAATGCATCTTCAAAATCGCAAATTCGAGAAGAAAAAAAAGATGATGATAGAAAAGTGCAAAATGCTAACATGCCAAAGATGCTGTGGAACTGGCGCGTCGAGGACGCATGCTTTCTCTCCTCCTCATGGCACATCACGAACAATGGCATGATGGCCGCCAGCTGCGTGGGCGCCGTTCTTCTCGTTGTCTGTCTCGAATTCCTGCGCCGCGTTAGCCACGAATACGATGCCTTTCTTCTGCGCCAATTCCAGCGACAACTCCACGCCCAGCAGGCAGCGCTAGCGGCCGCCATGCCCGCCAACTGCTGCGACGGCCCCACGTCCACTCTTGGACTTCAACACGCGACCTTCCGTGCCACCGCATTGCAACAACTCGTTCGTTCCATAATTCACGGCGTCACGCTCGGTCTGGCCTACATTGTCATGTTGTTGGTTATGCACTTCAATGGCTACATTTTCATCTCAATTGTTTTGGGCGCTGGATTGGGCAAGTTCTTGTGCGATTGGCTTGTGGTCAGGATACCGTACAACACGCCAGAACAGAAGGAGGAGAGGCATGCGTCAATTAGTGCGGCTGGACCCACGGGCTGCTGTGCGTAGAAATGTGGGGTCCGGGCAGTGTGGAGCGTGGAGTGATTGATAGAGATACCCTTTTTTGATGATAGCGATGGATAGCAAATGAACTAGTTTACAATTTTGGCACCACGCAGGCCCAAGAACTTGGAATTCACGCTCCAAGACATGTCCCATGATGAACTTTGGTTCACCGTAAGTGTAAAAACCTCAAAATGGGCGTGCCAACCACGTTGCTTTAGGCTTTTTCTGTCCAGTAAAGTGTGCCAAGTACGAAGCATATACGCACGACCGGGAACAGGGCCGGACTAGAACTTTACCCTCCTCCCCAAAATGTGCTCGCTTGGCGGACCCCTTAGCGTTTCCCATGTCCCTGGGGGCGGGGCACGTGGGTCAAATAAACTCCACAGTGGCGTTGTTGGGACCGGTCAATTCACCTCTTTTGCGCACATTGTGGCGATGGAGCCAAGATACGTAGCCCTCCTTCTCGGTCATCTGTAGTCCGAGGGAGTGGTCGACGTGACATTGTTAGAATCATTTGTGCGATTTCCGATTGGCCATTACACAATGGCTTGCTTCTGGGTCGTCAGTAAAATGTAACGTTGATCAAAAATGGTTGAGCTCGACTCGTGTTGTGTATACTGTGAGCATGATATGAATCGCGTCCAGTGTTTGAAAAAGGGCCTGCTTTGTATTTCGTGGCGAGGATGAGATAGACTACCATATTGCACTGACACATTTACATTGCACTAGGTCTTACATTTTCATCTATCTTCAGAACATGATTCAGGAAAAACGAGTGTGGTTGTGAAGGGACCGGTCCGGTGCCTAGCCTCTGGCGGTAGTTTAATCTATACCGGCATCTCCGGCCGGAAGACATGGTTGCAATGCAAAGGCACTGTGGATATTGGGGTGAACAACTCTTTGTGTCAATATGCCAACACAAGATGCAGCATCGCAAGAGAATGCGAGAACGATCCTCTACATTACTTATCCACTAACATGAGATACTAATACATCACTGATGAATGATGTAAAACAATATGTGACGATTCATTCATTTCCAACTAGTGGAAACACATCAATACGATCCAGCCAAAAAGTAAAAGAGTCATCAAGATCGCCAAGCAAAGTGATAGACCCAGCCAACGCCTAGACATACCCTGACTACTCAAAAACGGCTCGAACTCCCTCATCCGTCTTCGCAAACGTACCTAACTGGAAGACCAAGAAACCCCGCTCCCACTTTTACTTCGCATGCACACTCCAAAGCTTCAAAGCGATTCCGCACAACTTCTTGAGCGCCTGCGTATCCCTGTTGAGTCGCGGGTTGGTCGGTAGAGTATTGATCTTGGTAACACACGTCTCGATTTGCATCCTATAGCTGCCGGCATCCATCTCTCCGAGGAAACCTTCTTCGCCGTTGGCTAGCCCAATAAGCTCCTTGAGGTATTCGGAGGCCTGGCGGCGGTGGATGCCCACGACAGTGTTATTCCTAATGAGGTCTTGGACTTCGCTTGCGAAGTAGAGATTTTCGGTGGCGATGTACTGTAGTACTGTCGTTCGGGCTGCGTGAGCTGGTGATAGGTCGGTCTCGAGGGTGGTATTCGGAGAGACGTTCGGAGCAGTGCCAGAACTCGCTTCTTGGGTGCTGTTCGCCTTCTCGGCGGTGGCAGCAAGGAGTTTCGCGAAGCCACTACTTGTAGAGCCTGGCTCTCTATTTTGTTCCTGATTGACACTCTGAGCAGTCGCCGCAAGAAGCTTGGAAAATCCGCTGCCAGCAGGTGCTGATGCAGCGCCGATGACTGAAAGCCCTTTAGAAGGAGAAGGCTTTGCTGCAGGAATAATTTGGTGTGAAGTATGTTGGAAATTCGAGTTATTGTTGAAAGATGGTTTGGGGGCATTGTTTAAAACCGGCTTGGGATCAAGTGGATTCTGGAAAGGCGTCGGATTGTTGAGCGCTGTGCAAATGACCTGAATCCCCTGCATCATATCAATAGCTTGGGGCGGAAGGTAAGGCTCGCCCTGCAGATACTCGAACACTGCCATAATACCATCTATTGGCCACACGCTCTTCAACTTTCCAGCACCAGCTTCTTCCAGTGGTATCTCTTTGTCGCATTTCTGTAGCAGGGTATGGATGGGAAGAAGGACCTGATGCGTCATGTCTTGCATAACGTTGGCCGCCTCACAAAGGCCACCGGCCATTAGAGCAGCTTCGATGTATCCAATACCCATTTCAAGATCACGACCATAGAGAGCTAGCTGTTCCAACCGATTAATGTATAGTTGGCGGTAGTGATCGAGGAGAGTCTGTATCTTGAATCTCCTAACCTCTTCTTCATGGGCTTGGCGCTTTTGCTCCTCCTCCTGACGACGCATTTCAACCTTGTGGGCTTCCCACTGGTCAAGTATACTATTTGTGATTGTTCGCTGGTTGTGTTCGGCGATGATAGGGTCAATGGGATTGTGGCCTGAAGGGAGCAGCTGGAAATTCATTCGCTCTGCACCGAGGATATTCGTAAGCCGTTCCTGAACATAGGCATGGCTCTCTTTATATGTTTGGTTTTCATAAAAGGACATGTCTTGAGAGGGTTTCGGATCGGCATCCAGCGAATCCGCTGATTGGGGATGCAAAGATTCGGTCTCATCCTCTGGTCCATGAACGCGAAACCCCTGAGCCCTCTGTGCTCGATGATGTTCTATACGATTCTTGGTTACCAACATGTGTCGTTGTTGCTGTCGTAAAGCTCGATGCTTTGCTGTCTTGAGCTTGCTTTCTCTCTCCGAGACGACGATCTCCTCATCATTCCGTCGTTTTGCTATTCGAGGATGGTTCGTATTCGTGATGTTTCCGGTAGCTACAACAGGGACGGCTACAGTAGGGACATCCATAGTAGGGACAGCCAAAGAAGGGAAAGCCACTGTAGGGGCAGCTACGGTAGGGTAGGTCGTAGCGGAGGTAGCCACAGGATAAGTTGGTACAGCAGAAGCAACAACAGGAGCAGTAGCCACATGAGTGATGGGCACAGCACGCCTAGCTACAGAAGGCGTAGTCGCATCAGGCCTGGGCATACCATTTTCATCCAAGTCCATTTTTGCGAATATTTCTGCATGCCGCGCGAACAATGCCTAAAGAAGTGGTTAGCAAAGATCTAAAACGTTAGGGGAGGATACTGCGTACTTCTATAATGCTGCTTCTACGCTTTGCCTGCTCCTTGGGTTTGAACATACCAGTCAGGTGATCGGCGTTCGTACGGACGGCTTCCAAAATTTGCTCCATGATGGATGCTTGGGATCGAAATGATTGATTTGTTCGTGATGGTGACGCAGTGAGTGAAAAGAATATGCATACGCTTTTTTGAGAATGAAACTTCGAAACGTGAAAGATTGGGTTGATAGTGTGATTTTTGAGTCTAGTACCTTGCTTGAGATTGCTATTCGCATAGAGGTGGCGTAGATTAGTTCAAGGGGGTAATTTCAGATCTGACAAAGTATAGAAAAGTAGTTAGCAGCGATGGTTTACAGTGTCGAAGTAGTCAAAAGCGCGTGTTTGTGTACAAGACTTGTTTGGAGCACAATGAAAGGTTATCGTTAGTTCGCTAGAATGATCGAGAGTGAATTGGAAGGCGTGTTGTCAAAGCAAGCGGTTTGTTTGAACAATTGAATCGCTGATCATAGTTCGGGAAGTCGCCTTGATACCCAGTGACCCCCCTATCTACAGGAAATCCCGAAGAGTGGGAGATCATTCAGTATTTAGGTTTTTACTCCTTCAGTTCCACAGTGCATATATCTATCGTCCAAGACAGATTATTCTTCAAGATAATGTCTCTAGGATCCGATTTTGCAATAGGAAAGATACGCACACATTTCATGCTATCGGTTGTTTCTTACTTACTAGCTGCATTAACACCGCACCAGCCTTACATTTCTGTTGAAACATGGGGACTGTATCGCTAAGGAGGAGTGGTGGCCAGATTTATCCGCTTTGGCAGGCGGTGACACGCTCAAAAATGCTGGCTTTAGCGAAGTTGGATACGTGAACCAGTAGTAGTACTTTCTTACTTCATGCTAGTGTTTGTCGGGGATACTGTACTACCATGGCGGCCTCGCGACCCCCGCCGTGGAGACTTCGAGATCGCGGTCTTCTGCGTCGTATTCATACTGTGTAGCGTACGATGCGGCTCCACCCCCACTCGTCGAATTCTGGGACGGAGAGGGTGATAAGAAAGAAGAGCGGCAACAGACGAGAACCACTCTACGACTGGTCGCACTGGTAAGCAGGATGTCTCTCAGACTGTTTCCCGATTGTGGACCCAATCGTATATTCTAGAGCTGTCGTTCAACACTAATCATGTTGTGACGGACTCGTTATACGATTGCACTAGAGCCGGAGATCTCCAGCATTCTTGCGAGAGTAGCCTGATACATGTGTGTGTGAAGTGTTCTTGCATGAAATGTCAGCGATGCTATTCGCTGCTTCATCTAGCTACCTGCAGCATCCAATCGTAGAGGATAATAGCAATCAACACATCCCCTTCTAGTTACTACGTGTGATAAATTCGAATCAGCCCCCGTTATGGATCGTCAGTAGTTCCAGTGCTGCACAGCTTCTCCGCACACTTACGAGCTAAGTCGATTGTACTATATCTCGCCACCACATTCTTACAGCAGGAATCACTACAAATACTTTTTTCTCTATGCTTCTCCCCGGTAATGGAGAACATCACCCTTGTTGTGTCACCTATTCAGAGAAATAATTGAGAGGTCTGAGCCAGCAGTGCAGAAATATAACGCCGACACCAAGCCTGATGGTGATGCAACACACGAAGAGTTGACTCGGGAATCATCGTCAGCAACTGCACGCGTATGGAGGTTCCAGAGGGAAGAAATACTTAGACTGACAAGGGAATTGGTAAAAGAGCTTGAAGAAATGCCTGTGCAAAGGGCTGACGAACTAGAAATAAACGATTCCAACCGGCAGGACATGATTAGAAATTTGAATGTCCCACTCAAGGATATAGAAGAGATGGAGGACGAGGTCGCATTAGAAAAAGATATGGAGCATTATGCGAGAAGGCTTCGTGGAGTCCACTAGGGACTTCATAAAGCCCGTCAAGCTAGAATCAATGCAAAGGAATATGTCTAACAACAAATATTATCTAGCAGACGTACATCCGTTCCAGCATCGCGAGAATGACTTCTGTATGTGGCTCGGGCTTCTGGTTTTGTGTGGTGCGCCAGCAATAGGAGGCTTTGTTGTGGTTGGGCAAATGATCATGGATTACGGTGTTTGTATTCGTATCACTTGATGGTAGACACACACACACCACGAATGAAACAGAGAGTGAAACTACTTAGCGGAACACGAGATAGATCTGTAATAACAGAATTCTGCTCTCCTTTCTTTCTATCGATTTCGCTCTTCCGAGTATCAAAGTATTGCGGTATGCTAGTAAAGTAGACTTGCTAACAGTTGATTGAATCAAATTGCCAGACAGTGAATTGAATCAATTGCAAAGGTTATCTGACATGTTTCCTACCGACACTACCATAGATCCACCCGGTCCTCACTCAGGTAGCCCGCGCAATGCTGGCTGCCGAAAATTCCCCCGTAAGGAAAGGGTAATACTTGCTCGAAATCGAGGTGCCTCATTTTTTTTCTAGGTGTAGGACTTTCCCTGGAATAAGGAATAGATATTAAATGAAGAGATTCCCACTTTTGGCATGGCGTATTCTTGCTACGCGAGGGGCTCGCTGGAACAGATTTTGTTACGACTCTAGGATTGTTGGTGTTGGCGTGCAACAAGGAGATAGGTGAATGCATAGTGCAGTGACTGTGAGTTTACTGCACAATGTGTAGATAATGTTGAATGCATGAGAAGCTTCCGCCTTATACGCGAATCAAACCTGAACGACGAATCCAAGACCAAATTCTGTAGCTGAAAATGGTGACGATGTATGGTAATGTTAAGCTGGTATTACGCGTCTGGTGTGATGAGCATACAAGTGGCATTTGATGCATAAATTTGGCGATGTAACGAAGATGGGACAGCAAAGGAAACCACTGGGCGTGTAGAACCTAAGGCAGCAGAAGTCTTACAATTGTCCGATACGAGAAAAGGTTCTAGAGACCTCAGATTCCCAAAACTAAAATCGGTGTGCATTATCAACGGGTAGATATGCGAGTAATCAAGACCAGAATGTCGTGCAAATGCATTCCATTGATAAGATAACAGGCAGTAGCAGAGCGAGAGGAAGCATGTGAAGTTAACCAGGCAGCATCAACAGACCTTCCCAAGTAGGCGCAGCAAGACCCATCTCAGCCCAGGATACTCAGGGGTTATCTGGCCCCCATCGAGCACTGCCCCGGAACCAAACAACCCGATTCTCTCCAAGATCAAAGTTCCAATCTAAAAAAGGGCCCGCCAAGACGGCACCCCGATACCGAGCAGACCAAACAAAAGGTGGATGCAAAAGGAGATGCAGCTTCTCCTAAAGGTCTGGAACAGGCAAGGCCCCAAACTAGTAGTAGCATCTGCAAGGTACACGTCTATCCATCAGCCCCATGGGCGGCAACGCGGAAAGCCGTTGAAAGCAAATCTCTCGTATTCGCACATCCGCGGTACGGAACGAACTGCACGTTCCCGATCACCTCCAGCATAACCGTCCTCTCGCAATCTCTAAGATCACAAAGAAAGAGAAAAAAAGGAACTGTGGCGTTAAGCCTCCATATCCAAGCCACACCCGCCCTTTTCGCACTTTCACTCAACATGTCCCATTGTCTTCAGCTCACAGAGCAACCACCGCACCATTCTCACAAAATCCCCCTTTTTCTTTTCCCCCATAATCCTCCCACCAAAAAGAAAAGCCGATCAGATGGAGACGAACGCGCAAGCCGATACAAGACACGGTGCATGAACAAGTCCTAGTGTGGCTGTTTTTGTGGCGCGTACATGCTTGGCGGCGTGCCGTCATGCCGTGTTGGCGGCATTGCACTTTACCCAATTGGGCTAGATAATTACACCGCCAACCAACAATTTGGGGGCAGTCGCCTTGAATATGCCAACATGTGGGTATAGAAATCAAAGGGCTAGAGAGGAAAGGCAATCGGGGGGAATCAAGGAGTGGAGCACATGCATGGCTTTTTGTGTGCTGTGCCTTGTTTTCAAAGGGGAGTGAATACATCATGGACTTGATCTCCTTTGCTCTCGTAGGACCGACTCTACTAGTTCTTCGTTCGTTCTTTTGACACTACTTTCTTTTCTTTTTCTTTTACCCTGCATTCTTTTGAAAGAGAGAAGAATTGGTTCGGTATTTCGTACGCCCTGCATCTCCGATCTCGACCTTGTTTTGCTGTACGGTGCTATAGTTCAAGGTTGTGTGTGTTTGCTCAGTAAAGCAAGCCCATCGTCACTCGCTTTTCCCCTTCTACTGTCACCAGAAAGAAAAAAGAAAGAAAGAGAAGAAGAAAAGGATCCCGTTGTCATCATAATCCATAATACCTACAAACAAACCATCGGCAATCATGAGACTCGGTCTTGCCTCGACCCTCGTCGCCCTCAGCGGCAGCAGCCTCGTCCTCGCCCAAAAACGCTGCGATGCACCATACCCCGAAGTCTACTGCAACACGACCTCGATCCTCGCCTTCAATTCAGACGCCTGCAAACCCTTCCACATCTTCGTCGTGCGCGGGTCCGACGAACCGTATCCTGGGCGTCTGGGTAACCTAACGCAGCAAGTCTGCAGCGCGATTGGCGGCACCGCTAAGTGCGGATACGAGGACGTCGAGTACCCCTCAAAGAGCTCCGCATGGTCAAAGACGTCATGGTGCGATTCCGCCACCAAAGGCGCGAAGAACGGACAGCAGCAGATGCGCGCATACAGCGAGAAATGCCCGGATAGCAAGTTAATCGTCCTGGGGTTCTCGCAGGGCGGATCCGTAGCGCAGGATATGCTGGGGGGAGGCGGCGGACCGACGTTTGAGTGCGAGCAAGGCGATAATCCGGGGTTAGATGCTAGTGTTGCTCCTGGTTCAAATGGTAATGATCTCCCTTCTCCCCCCCCCCCCCCCAAAAAAAAACAGTAAATATAAACATGTAGCTAACGCAACGAAAAACTTAGTCGTCGCAGCAGTAACTTTTGGCGCCGTCGCCCGCTCTCGCAACCAAAACTTCACCGTGGGCGGCGGAAAGGACTTTGACGGTACCCGCGCGCGCACCCCCGAGCAACTCGCAAACTTGACGCAATACGCCGATGTCCTCCTCGACTACTGCCACTACGGCGACCCCATCTGCGCGGTAGGCTCCGAGCCGCAAGACGTAACCGAGCACCTCAACTACTTTGTCAAGCACAACGCCGAAGTGACAAAGTGGGTTGCCGGCATGGCCAAGGCGAGTACCGGTGATGTGAGTGTTCGACCCAGCAAGCCCGTCGTTGTACAGGCGGCGCCCTCGTCGACAGCACAGTCGTCGACGCAGAGTCTTGTCCCCGCGAAACCGATTCAGACGGGGGCGCCGACGACGACATCGACGGCCGAGCTTGCGCCTGCGGTTTTGTCGAGTATTACTGACGGAGCCGCTGCGGCTGAACAGACTGGTGTCGCGAATGCTGCGGCGGGTACGGTGAGGGTTGTGCTGGGGTATTTGACCGTGTTGGGAGCTGTGGCTGTTGTGTTGGTTTGATCAACTTACACTTACACTGCACGTTCTCTCTTATACGGAGCCTGGCCAACGTCTCTCTGCCTTTGCATTTATACCCTGCATATACATACGCATCTTGCATTTCCCCCTCCCTTCTCATTTATCCAAGGAAAGAGGGAGAAAAGAACTGTATCGAAGCAACGGCATTTTTCTGACTATCTACTGCGGAACTTTTTTATTACTTCGAAGGACTCGGAAAACTTATTAAATTATTTTTGTAAATATGATTTGTACGATTATTTCTAATTTCTTATACTTTTAGAACCTAGAATATGCAGTTTTCATCCAGATGTATACAAGACTGAGAGTGAACACTGTTTACAACAGACCAACAGTTCGCTGCTTCATCTTCCTCACATCGACATTCTCCCATAGTACAGTGCTGAACAAAGTTATGCAGTAGACGCACACCGCAGCAATAAGCATGTACCGTTGTGTCTGGCCGTAGCTGAGGTTGATAGCATCGCGAGCAGGGCTACCAACCGGGTAACTGGCCTGAACTTTCATGTCGCCGTAGATGTTCTTGAAGTCCTTCATGGCATCTGCCGGTAGATTGTGCTGGAGACGAACAGGGAAGACACCGGTCCAGATTGCGCCGGCAATGGTAGATCCAATGGCGCTTCCAATAGCG